GAGGGAGAGGGAGCAGGAGAGAAGATTCAGGTAGACCGAACGGAAATTCGAATAGAAAAATGCGAAGCCGAGCACAGAGAGGGGAAGCGTTCGCGCTCGAATCGGCGGTGTACGTGCACCGACGACAGCGCAGAGGTGACGGGTCGTTGGGCCAGGTCTCGAACGGCGAGGGGTGGCAACGCGGCCCCAAGAGGAAGGAGGAGGGCGAACGCTACGTAGGGGCCCAGCATCTGCTCCGTACAACAACGCAACGCACGGTGTAACAGAGCGCGAACGGAGAAAGACGGGGGCAATCGAGATCCACCGGGAGGGAGAGAGACGGCAGATCGAAAAAGGGGAAAGAGGCGAAAAAAGGGGAAAGAAAAGGAGAGAGGGAGAGAGAAGGTAGCGCAAAACGGAGCGCAGCAGGACAATCGCGTCGCACTCACGAACAACATCCTGCACCTCCTGTTGTTGCATAGAGCCGTAGAGGGGATACGCGAGCCGGCGGAACAGATGCCCGCGTTCTCATTGGACGATGGCCCGTGACCGGGCGTCCCCTATTGGTGGGTAGCGCGGGGCCCACGGGCCTGCATTGGTCGGGCAGCACGTGCGGGCCACCTGCACCTGGCCGGTGGGGTGACCTGTTATAAAAGGACTTGGCGCACCCCCCTGCCAGTCAGAGACCGGCCTGCAGCCGAACAGTTGTCAGAGTCGTGCAGAGTATCGTAGGTTCCTTCAAACGTATTCGCGTTCAGTCTTTCGTTCTTTCCTCTTCCTCTTCTTCGACTTAACCCTGGTGCCGGTTCAACAGACGGTTCAGTTCAGTCTCGACGAGCGTACGGTGAGGATCGACACTTTTTTTGCCGGAGATCGCACGAGTGCTCGTACATCGACGAGAAAGTGGATTTCACCGAAAAAGGAGCGAGGACCGTTGTTTGCATACATGTGTGACACAGTGCAGTGACAACATCGCTTAGGATTATCTTGACAGTTTTGTTGTTCCTCGCGCACGAGGGAACAGAATATATTGTGGTCAGTGCGAACACGAGAACAATTGGATTATAATCGCGGCGCAGCGCCTTCGCGGTGTCCAGTACCTGCGAAGAGCCGACTCGGATCTTGGAATCGTGAAATCGTCAGCGAAGCAACGTCAAAATGCTGGTCGAAGAAGTGCCGCGAAGCTTCGTCAAGAAGAACAACAGCTACAGCCACTGCCCGCTTAAAAAGCGGCCAGTACATGTCGTGCCTACCGAAGAGGTTCCTGAAGTGATCAAAGGTAAGCTTCGATTATTTCGATCGATTTCCCCATTTCGAACTAACAACTAGATAATCCCTAACTCTTTGCAAATTAAACTATTTATCGTATAAAGACTTTGAGCGATTATTACTTATACGCGAATAGTTAACAAAAATTTTGACAGAACATTCGAGTCATAGAATCCTTCTTTAATTGAATAGAGAATCTTTTATCTAAAACAAAGTTTTCTTTTCTCTTCTTCAGAAGAAATAATCGACGTGGTGATGGACGATATTCCTGAGCCCGAGAACCTCAGTACAAAACCCGAAGATCTCAGCAGAATGGCTGAACGCCATCAACAGCAACAAGAACCGGAGCAACACGCGCGCGCGTCCAGGTCTCCGTCACCGGTCGTCAAAGTCTCTCCGTCACCACCGTTGGCGCCTAGACCAACTTCTCTCGTGATGCACCAACACGTAAACCCCGTGCACCACGTTCATCATCATCATCATTACCCCACGAAGGCGACCACGCCGCCGGTGGGTATCGCGCCGATTCATCCAGTGGCGAAGAAAGCGCGCGTAGAGGTGATCCTGCACGACAACTCGTCGTCGACGAGCGCGGTGACGGCCACGTCGGCGCCGTTGCACTTCATGGCGAGCAAAGCACCTCTGGAACCGTTGAATCTCAACACCCCCGTCGAGCCATTGGCGCACTACGCCACTCCGGCGTGGGCCAGAGCCGCCCCGCTTTACCCGCCTCACTATTTGCCCTATCCGGCGGCTTATCACCGTTATCACCACGCGGGAGCGGAGCTGTATCCGTCCTATCCGATGCCGGCGTATCCTCACTCCTCCCCGGAGCATCATCCGTCAGTTTCACCGCCGCCGCACAGCGCGCTCACTTGTCCAACGATTCAGCGACCTATCGCCAGGAGCTACTGGGCAAGTCCTGATCACTGTGGTCTGTCGCCAACGAGTTCCTTGGGATCTGGATCCTTGAGGTCGCCTCCGCCAGTCACGCCGGAAGATCTCTCCTCTCCCGGCAGCGACAGCGGATTATCATCGGCTGGAAGCACATCGGTTGGCTCGACGATCGTGAACCCGAAAATCGAGAAGACCGGAGTGACCAGTGGTTCCACGGCGTCTCTGTCTTCCACTTCGTCCTCGTCCTCGTCCTCCTCGTCGCCCAGGTATCAGTGTCCAGACTGCGGGAAATCCTATTCGACTTACTCTGGCTTGTCGAAACATCAACAGTTCCACTGCGCCGCGGCCGAAGGTCAGGCGAAGAAGTCTTTCTCGTGCAAGTACTGCGAGAAGGTGTACGTCAGTCTGGGCGCGCTCAAGATGCACATCAGAACGCACACGCTGCCCTGCAAGTGCCATCTTTGCGGCAAGGCGTTCTCGAGGCCTTGGCTGCTCCAGGGACACATCAGGACGCACACGGGAGAGAAACCCTTCAGCTGTCAGCACTGCAATCGCGCGTTCGCCGACAGGAGTAACTTGAGGGCGCATCTCCAGACGCACAGTGACGTGAAAAAGTACTCGTGCACCTCGTGCAGCAAAACCTTCAGCAGGATGTCGTTGCTGACCAAACACCAGGAGGGCGGATGCCCGGGAGTTCCTGTCCCGATGGCTTACGCGTGTTGAGATCCCGACGAGGATTCCTCGAAGAAAACTGCGACGATTTGATCGCGTCGCGTGTGTGATTGCCTGATACGTTCCTTATTACTTTGTTACGGTTCGAAAAAAGATGAAGTGCCTTACGTTAATCGGAGTACAAACGAATAATGATAATAGTAGAAGTAGGAGAAGATTAGGGGGTTCAGTTTCTCGACGAAGACCAAGTTTTTACGAGGTGTATGCGGTTGTAGTTTCGAGTACCTGGCTTTCGATTAAAATTCACGCTTTCCCCATGCTCGAATTTTAAACGAGATCATTAGAAATCTGTCGTCGATAAATTGAACCCATAGATCGAACCCCATCCGATGGTTGTGCATTTTTCTCGCGTTCGAATCGCGCCCTTCGTCCCGTTGTATATAGTTCGGTGTGTGCGTGTGCGTGTGACAAACAGCGAGAATGAGCGCGTAACGTCTCTGTACTTAAAGGATACGATAGTCGACGTATGCCCTTCGAGGAGAGGCAGAAAGGACGAGTCGTTGTAACCGCTTGACGCGGTCCCGTGAAACTGCCGTGCCATTTTCGTATCTTTCCTTTTCCCATTTTTTTTTTTGTTTTCTTCCTCTTGTATTCCTTGCCATTTCGTTCGATTCGAACGAACGTACACGCGACTAACGGTGATGATATTTTCGTCGATCGTGTTCAATTTTCCAACGAAAAGATGTATTTTCTTTGATATACCGCGTGTACCGTGCACCAAAGTGCCATCTTTTTTTTATTAAATTGTGCCACGTGTTTATGTACTATTGTAAATAAGAACGATTAGCTGTCAAGGCACGCACGAGAAACAAAGTATTATTGTAAGTCGCCATAGATGGACGGAGATACAGAGAGAGAGGGAAAAGTATTTAAATGATCGTCCAGTGCCTGAGTGGTTTATTTTATTTTTTTTTTTGTATCTTGGTAACTCGGGATCGAGCGAGAGAATGAGAGCGAAAGAACTTAATTATTTTATTTTTCCTTTGCCTTTTGCGTTTTTGTACTTTTTCTTTGCGTTTGTAAATCACTGTAAGTTACTCGAACAAGCTAGTCATTGTACAATAACTATAAACGTGCGAGGAGAAATACGAGAGACTCGCCGCGAGGAAGGTTCCTCCGACTGGTCTTATTTGGCGTTCCTCGCGGAGAGGTCGCTCGAAAAAAAGAGATATAATAATTAATAGAGTCGTCACGCCTGAGTTTATTACTGTCCGTGTAAAGAGGGAGCGAGAGAGAATAACGGCGAAACGACTCAGGGCGAGTACCACTTTTTCTAGTTTTTGTAAAGAAAGTAAACTACTATTTGAGATACAGATATCACCTATATATAGAGATATTTTATACGAAATAAATTACTTGGATTTTAAACCTTACACGAGTCTTCTGCGATTCTTCATACCTCTCCTAAATCAACTTCCACATCAATCTTTATTTTTTAAAAAATTATCCAATTCAATTCAATATAAATTTTATGTTGCAACTTCTATGGTCTATGAGATAGTAAAGAAAAAAGTAACTTTTCATTTAGCTTCTCTTCAGAAACTCATCATTGCGTTTGCAAATTTTTTCAAGAAAGAGATATATTTTTGAACTTTTATAAAAAAATATTTTGCATTGACAAACTTCTACAATATTATATAATTGCATTATTTTTAAAAGGTTCAAGAAATTATAAAGGAAAAAAATTTTCTATAATTTTATTAATAACGTGAGAATGTCTCTTTGATAAAAATAAGGTCTCTATAAAAAAATCAATCGCAGTGTATATTCACGTGGCGAAATTCAGAAGGTTGTAGATGCGATCAGCGGACACCTTAAATATCGGAACGAGCTCGTTATCGCACGAGTGCGGAACAACGCATAACTTTCGCGGACGTGTATAATAACGCGCTTTGTCTTTCGACAAACAACGAACTCACTGCTGTTTTATCTCTCCATTGGAACGATCGTTGTAGCTGTTGGTCGAGGACCCTCGGGGCCCCCTGCTCGATAAAAGTAATTGTTGGTGGCCAGCCCCCGGTTCGAGACGAATCGATTCGATTCGAGTCGAGATCCGACGGACAGCCGACCCCACGGCCACGTTTAAGTGTCTAGCACGAGCGCGAACCTTCCGGTACTTCTACTCTGCCAGCTCTGCGACAGATTTGCCGCGTTAAAGATAAATTCATCTACTCGGTTAACTTATCGAATTTTTCATTGAAATCTTGCTTGTTTCTATTTGAACACGTGCATGACGTATTAGAACCGTGCAATGATTAATGCGTGACAACCGTTTGAAGTTATCGCGCATACCGTGAGTATTTGAACAGTCTGCCCAGATGTAAATATTTCCCTGAAATATTTTGTGTACAAGAAAATAGTTATACTTTGATTGAGATATCTAGGCACTGGTACTATTGGCAAATTGCGGTGACTCAACGTAAAAATTATTGTTTAATAATCTGAACGTAGAAACGGTTTGACGCGGCACGAGCCATCTCGTTGTTTCTCCCGCGGGCTCATTCACGCGTTCATTCATGGGCGCGTTAGCAGAACGCCGGGCACAAAGGTCTTTTAGCGAGGCAAACAACATATGGCGTGCAAACGCGTGTTCAATTCATTGGCCAGCAATGGGCTACCTGCGCCGCGTATTAAATCCCACGCGCTTTTGCCACGTACTAGCGATTCAATCGACACAGCCAGCGTTCGATCGGGCTTTTTGTTCGAGCCTCTCGCCCATATGGGTGTTCCGAATCGCACAACCATTCCAGATTCTCCCCTCGTTGTCGCCCCGTTAAATATTTGGATTCGGTTTCTCGTTAAACGCGCGTTTAATCTTGGTGCTTTTCCATTCGACTAACGGATCGATTCGATCTTCCTCCACGCGGATTCTAATTCCTTCAAATACCAGACACCGCTCGGACGCCGTCCAATAGGCGCCAAAATAGTCAGTGAAAGTCAAAGGTGGGCGGAAGTGGCTTGTCGCGCGAGTATTTCGCGGCCACACGAAAATTTCGCCTGTTCGGGAAACCATCGGAACCTTTTGATCTTGGATTCATTAAACATCGCGTGACAACGCGTCAAAATCGCGTGTGCCGAATTAAACGGTTCATCGAATTGATTTTATGACTGTGTTGGTTATAAAACATATTCACAGGTTACATGGATCTTGTACTCTTTTTTGGGGACTCATTTGCGTTCAAAGTTAACGTGACACAGATACGGTCGCTTAGAATTTCTAATGGAGAGCTGACACTTATTGATATTTCGAATGTGTAAATTAGGGTTCGAAATCGTCTCTGCAATTATAGATAAGAAATTTGAATATGGAAGAGAATCCATGGAGTTCGGGGAATATGAGGAAAAATTTTGAAGTTCTTCGTCATCTACTAATGGACTTCATCTATAAATTGCATATGAATTGGTTGTTTAAATCTGAATATTTTTTACAAGATTGTATGAACGCATGTGCATATTTGAACATCTCTTTTGCTCTCTTAACTGCTCCTCACTATTCCCACCACATCAGAATGAATTAAATCGACTTCGAAATTGTCGAATCGCACGTGTCTACTCGTGCATATCCTCTTAACCTCCTTTTGTCTAATTCGCAAAAGTTATTTCCCTATTTAAACGTCCACATTCGGTCTCAACTACGAAGTCTTAAATGTACTCCTACAAGAATGTACTCCGGTAAAAAAGTCAGAGTGCAACATGCAGAAATAGGTTAGAGCGCAACATGCTATAGAAAAACAGTGGCAGTTTGCAAAATCCCTCTGCTTGTACCGCCACATATCGCGGATGTTATAAGTCTTTGCATCGACACGAGCGAAACCAAGCAACGCTGTTCTTCCGCAGAAATCTGGTCACCCCGAGTGTCCGCCGGATGACGGGCCCGATTCGACAGGAAACTTCTCGTTCACCTGGACAGGTGCTCGTTTACTTTCAAGCACGGCCCTTGGTACACGCGGTGCGCACGCGTGTGTACCGTGCAAGAAAGTGTGGAAGCAAAAGCTACCTTGGCCCCTGGGCTTTTATGGCGACTGGTCCGATCGAACAGGTGCGCCCTGTTGCTGCGTGTGTATACTCGGGTAAGAGGTTCCATTATTCCACGACGTTGTGTGTATCGCACGAAGTATGGCGTGCAAAGAGTCTTCTCGGTCCAAGAAGACGGACCGATGTAACGCGAAGCTGGCCACCGACAAAAGGTCGCAACGTTTGGGTTTGGGAATAGGAAAGAATACCTCGAAGCCACGAACTCTCTTCTTTGTCACAAAAGGAACGGGGTCGTGATGGTCGACCTCCGAGAAAATTCTCTTTTACCTCGAGGAAGCGCAGGTCAACGACTTTGGATCTATTGGACACTTTTGGAGCATTCAATTATTGTTGGATGGGTATCGATTACGTGAGCAATGGTGTGGAAATGTTCAACCAGCAGGTTTCCTGTTTATGAGTTGCATTTCTGAATGGTAGGGGTGGGATTCCGATGGTAATGATGTAGAAAATTTGAAAATTGAAATTTGTGTAGTCATAAATTTCGAGGGCTCAGTTTCCTAAAATTCCTTAATCCTTAAAATCCCAAATTCGAATGATCTGCGTATCCGAGAGGAGAAGGAGCAAAAACCGCATAGGCCACGTTGACCCGGGACACAAAACTGGTCCCCGGTGTTCAGAACGGCCTCCAATGAGGATCGAGGCTCTTTCATCGCTTCCCGGAAGACTCTCGTCTTCTTGCAACCCTTTACTCCGTGCTGGTACGTGTCCCATTGTGCGAGCGGAGTGGAGATCGTCGGTTCCGGCTTGGAACCAGGTGCGAGCCAGCGTATCTGCTCGATTCTCGACGCTGAGAGCGTGATTCTTGATAACGCGACGATCGTGTGCTCCGCAATTACCGTTTCATCGAATTCGACCCTGATACGCCTGTCATTCGTGACGATCGGGAAAGTGACGAGTCATGGGAGCAGGGAGGAGACACGCGAGTTAGCTTTATATCGAGGTGGCGACGTTGAAAAGAACGCGAGTTGGGTCGGTGAGTTCCAATATCTTGAGGGAATGATTCATTAGACCGTGGACGATCTTCGAGGGAACGGACAAAACAATCTCCGCCGCGAAAGGTACGAACAACCTGTTACCCGGCCCTTAAGGTAGCGTGCACAACAGATGGTCCGCGGTCGGACTCTGCAGATTTCACCTGCTGCTGCGCGGACCTTTCGGCCAGATTCGCTAGATTCTTTCGCTGTGAATTTGGGCCTGGCTTTGTGAAGACAGGTAGCTCGGATCTATAGAAGCAATAGCAGCAACATCTATCGGATTACTTTTTATTATAAAAGTGATACATTCTTTTTAAGTTCAGATTTAGTCAAATTCAGATTCAAATCGAATCTTGAAGCTTTTGTCTTTAGAAAGCAAAGATGTATATCTTTTGTATCCGTCAAAATCACACGACGTTTTTTCTGAAGCAACATTTGGAGAAACAGAAACGCCAGAGGAAATGGAAAAATTCTCATTCGGTTTTCACTGATGCATCATTTTACGCTCGATTACGAGTCCAGTGTGGGAAAGTCGAGTGAACCGGAGACGACACGTGCACGCCATCTTCTTTACAAATGTCCGCGTATCCATCACCTTGGAACAAGGCGCGCTTCGGGCAACGGAAAGCAATTAATTCGGACTCTGATTAATCTGTGAAAATTGCCGGCTTCACCTAGGATGAACCTCGGATGACTAATACTCGTTCTGTTAGTCGCTTTTTCTAACGACAGGTAACCGTCTCACCCTTTCACGGGGCCAGTCGTTTTCGTATCAGTAACGCTTGTCCCTATCTTTACGAACGCGTCAGATGGCTACCGTTCGAAAGTTTCGGAAGCTTTCGGGCCGACCGTCAGGCCTAATTTTGTATTTTACTTGAAACGTGTAATTTACCTTTACTTTTATACACCATCAATTTTTTATTTCCCTGTGATACACATTCGTTTACGAATAAACTCACAATTAAGTTTGAGTAACTGAGTTTACAATTAAACTCAGTTTAATTAACCACTATTCTGTAGTTATACCAGCTTAGTATTAAAGATAAAGTAAACATTCTGTTCTCGTGAAAGAGATGTTATCCCTAAAAATCGTGAACCAAAGCATGGTTCACACGTGGTAGTTTGCAATCAGACGACCACCCAGCCATCAGCCTGGACGTTGCCACACCTTGGATAATGACGCGAGGAGAATTACTCGAATTTGCTGACTCCATTTGATGACTGGTTAGCATAATAACGACTGGGAATCGCTGAACGCTCACGCACTGTCGCAGTTGTTTCTTTCTGAAATTCAAACATTCCCTACCTCGGCATTCTTCAACGTTTCATTCGGAAAAT